TGCGTTCCCAAACAGCCATCTATCATCTTGATCTTGTCTAACACAAGTCACTATTTTAGTCCAGCAGCATAAACCAGACATATTTTACTAGTGCAGTGTAAGTTTTTTCAGGGATCTGCCTCATGAGTCTTTTTAGGCCTGTGGCATTTATTCAAAGAACATTACATTTGCTCTGTGGGGTTACTTTTAAGATTCAAAGCTGCCCAAATGGCCATGCTTTACACAGATGGTTGGGGGCTCCCCTGAGTCTCTCCGTGTTTAGAGTGAGGATGGGGGTGGGCAGAGGATAACTACTTCCAGGTTCTCCAGCCTCCCGGAGTTTCATTTAGGCTTGCATCTCAGGGCAAGGCATTTAGCCTACTCTCGGCCGCTTCCAGACCACCCCCTCCTCAGGACAGGGAATAACTGCTCATCTCTCAGCAGTCCCGAGCCCAGGGTAGTCCTCGGTGATGCCATTGGTGTGCACTTGGTTGTTACCTATGTGATTTTGCTCTCTTTCTGACTGGATCACGACTGTCTTAAGTCAACAAAGCTTTCTCCTGGGTTTTGTTTTGTTTGTTTTTGTTTTTTGCTGAAGATACCTCTAAATCCACTCCAAGCTTTTCGAAGTGGCTTGCTATAGCTACAGGTAACCAGCTGCCCCAGTTTGTCCCAGCGTGATTATTAATAGAGCTTCTTTTCACTCTCCAAAGAATTCCTGGTTTGTACAACGTATTACCCTAACTAGAGCAGTCGTCACTGGATATTCCTAACCAAATTCATTAAGTCCCCCTCTCTCATTCCCAAATGTGCTATATATTCTCTTGTGATCCTGTCTTGAAGGATGGCCCTCAATCACCAGCTGCCTGAGTTAAGCATCTTTTTCCTGACTCAACTCCATGTCTAAAGCAGTTGCCAAGTCCTGCCTCTTCAGCCTCCAAAATGTAGTCTTTCGCCTTCATTCCACTGTTGCTATCATTTAGATTGGGGTGGGGTGGGGGTGTCACAATTCAGAGTCTTATCTATGCCAGGCAAGTAAGTGAACAAAGGGGTATGGATATAACCATGCAGCCCTCTTGGTCCATCCTTCGTTTTCAAACTTTTGATAGAGATTTGGGTTCAGTAAATATTTTATTTTCCTTTTGATGGTCCATAAGTTAAAAAAATAATAATAAAAGAAGCAGCATGAGAGCAGTGAGAAATGACATTGATATCCCACCCTAGTGGCCGTGAGTACTAGGCGGAAGTGGGGACAGTGGTGAACCTGAGCATGCGTTTCTGATCTCAGGGGCCAGCTGCTACTGCTCGGCCCCAGCCACGTGACTGTGCTGTGCAGCACCGTGGGCCCCGGATGGCCAGATCTTCTGATTTTTCAAAAGAAGTTGAAAATTGGGAACATTTTGATGTAAAATCTCCCGGTTTATAATTGACAGTTTAAAAATATTGTGTAGGCCAAATAAAACATCTGCAGCCACTTTTGGCCCAGAGGCTCTTGGTTTTCAGCCTCTGGTTTTGACTCCCACGCCTCTTGCCTAGACCGGTGCAGTAGTCTTGGTCATCCTGCTCCTTCTAATCCAGACTCTACACTGCCCTGGCCTTTTCTTTCCAAATTGCAGAGCTGATCACACAGGGTTCTCTCTCTAAAGAGATGTTTGCTGTCTGCAGAACAGAATACACATTCCTCGATGTTGCATTTAAGATCCTTCTCCATCTGACCCAACTACCTCTGCAACCGCGTCTCCTACCCCTACACGCACCCTGGCTGTGTTCTCGACATATGCAACTGCTTACTGTCCCCTGAGCAATCCCAATATTTTCTTTTAATTAGTAGCTCTTTTTAGAACAATTTTAGGTTTACAGAAAATCTGAGCAGGTGGTACAGGTAGTACAGAGAATCCCCATATATTCCCTTCCTCACAGCTCCCTCTCCCTAGTTTTTGCCTATAATTAATACTTTGCATTAGAGTGGTACGTTTGTTACAATTAGTGAACCAATACTGACAAATTATTGTTAACTAAAATCCATAGTTTGCATTAAGGCTTACTCTTTTTGTTGGGAATACCAATATTTTAATACCCCTTAAAATTTTTTTTATAATTTCGTTTTCTCTGTTTATATATTGTTCTCCCAATTTTGGCAAGATTCTTTTCAAAGCCAAATATGAATATCACTCTTTCTGCAAAGCCTTCTCTGTTTATTTCTGGAATCGGGGCTGGAAGGGAGGGAGCAGATAAAAAGGACGAGAACTAACATTTTTTTTTCAGATGCCTAATATGTGCCAAGGACTATATATTCTTTTAAATCTCTCTATAATCCTCTAAGATACATGTTATTACACACTGTTTACTGTGGGGAAACAGAAGTTAAGTAAGTTGCTCAAATCCCCACTGAGAGTAACTGGGTTTACACCCATGTCCACCTGGCTGTAGAGTTGGCGTTCCTCCCGTTCTCTCTCATAGGGCTGCATTCTCACCACTGATCTAGCCTTCCTGCTCTCCCCACTGGATTAGAAATCCTCTGGAGTGAGGAGTGCAGTGACACTCAGCTCTGTGTCTCCACTCCCAGGAAGAGTTGGCACGTACAGCAGCTCCCCCACACCCATGGGCATGTGTCCTAAAGGCAGAGTTAATGTAAGAGGCACCAAATATCAACATCGATTCAGTGAACGGAAGTTGAATTCCTGCTATGCACTGGACTTGATAGAGGACGAGGTCAAGCCTCAGAGGAAGGTGTTGGTGATGCCACCTTGTAGGTTATAAATTCCAGCTAGAGACAGGCAAGCTCTTGATTTTGTTTATCCATGACTAGAATATAAGCTGCAGGAAAGCAAGGACTTTATTTGTTCTCTGCTGCAGCTCCTACGACAGTACCTGGTAGTGACAGTTGTTTAATAAATATTTGTGGACCAAATGTCTGAATCCTACTGCAAATTTGGGACACCAAAAATGACACTAAACTTCTCACAGTTCTCATGTGCATTTAGTTAGTCATCGTCTTCAGTTCTGGCAGCTTTGGTTTCTCTGTGTTGGTTCAGTGCAGCCCTGTATTATAGGCTGTTTCCAAACTGCCCCACGCCTGGGTCTGACCACTCTCTTAGTTCTCCATTCCTGGTGAATAACCAGAATCACAATTGTTGTGTGGTTTGTACCCAAGGTGACAGAATTGATGGACCTGTAGGCTGATTTTCATAAACCAGAGCTACCAAGCGTTTCAAAAACAGCCTTGTTTTTGCCAAGTAAGGTGAGCAAATATAGGACTAAGTTTAAACATCCATCAGGAGTTATTTTTGAAGTGATTACTTCTAAATGAGAGGCATTTGAAAATCTCACAGCTTTCTTTACAAGTAAATTCCAAAGTCATGTATTTTGCTGGTGTCTGCTGATTAATTACAATTCTGTGACACCATGAAAAGCCCCGGTGGTTGGTTTTGTGCAGCTGTGGAGAAAGTAAAGTGAGGCCCAGTAACGTTGCCAACTCTTTCAGGCTAGTGGGGATTCAGGCAGAGGGAGGCTTTTTTTTTTTTTTTTTTTTTTTTTTTTTTTTTCACCCGGGCAGTCACCACATAAGAACAGAAGCCCCAGCCAGACCCATTTCTCCAGACTTCACGACGGGCAATTTGGGTCCCTGTGGGGGTGTGGTAAAGTAGTGATATTTGATCTGTTGCTTCTAAAATACAGATGCATTATTAGAGAAAGCATTTTCAGTTTCTACATCGGGACATGTGTGTATTCTCCTGTACAATTACTTCTGTTTAGGAAAAAAATAGTTACATATAGTAAGTTAACCAAAATTTCTTTTGATTCTCTGAACAAAAGATGCTCAACATATATTTATCATTGATAATTGCAGATATCTGACCCAAGAAAACCTGGCCATGCACACCTGTTTAAGGTCTGATGACTCTGGGTCTCTTTAACTTGGCCTCTTGCTTTTTCTCTTATTCCCATATTTAACTTTCAGTTATGCCCTTCATTCACAGGAGAAAAAGAGAGTTGCATCTTACTGCTTAGAAAGAATCCTCCACAGCTCTAGTGAAGGATGCAATAGAGAAAGAAAACAAACTGATGATTAAAACAAACTTTCAGAGTTCTCAGTGTGTTTGTCTGCACTTGCTTTGCTCTACCCACGTCCTCTCTTCTGTTTAGACAAGAGTGACTGAAGGATTTCTCGGACATCTTTTTCTTTGTCGTTAGCTAAGGTCAGAGGGTCTCATCTATGCCCTGTCCACTTTCTTTTCTCTACTACAGGTGTATAGTCCTTACAAAGGCTTTGTTGATGTCATATCTGAGTGTGAATCCAAGACACACGTACGTGGACACACACATACACTTGCATATGGTCTGTGTCGTGTTTCTGTGCCCTTTATTCTGTAGATACAACAGGATTTGTCTTTCTCTGCTTAATTATAATATATAATGTCATGTAAGAGTAAGAAAATGTCTGCATTGCTGCCTCTATCTCAGAGACAGAGAAGATATGCTAAAAAAAATCTAAATAGTTTACAAATATTTCTGTCCAGTATTTGCAGAGGTAAGCATCATTGTAATCTGCTTCTTTAGCCAAACCTGTTCTGATAAACCCAGACATGTGAACCAGTTTAGACTCTCAGACTTTGACTTTAAAAGGTACATTTTTTATATGAGACTGCTAACATAACGAAAGATGTTTGCATTTCTTTGCTAAAATAAATTTATAGGTTATTTGTAACTAAGAACCTTTTGTACTGAATGATTGTCTATTCACAATCATTCAAAAATCACAAAAGTAGTCACTTTTTGGGTGGGGGGAGGCATACTGTGCACAGAACCCAGAGCACAGATATGGATTAGGGACATAGGTTTCTTACCACTTGCTACATCCTCCAAAACTAACATACTTTTTGCAGAGACCAGAGCCACATTCTGCAGGTGTCTATTTTCTTTGAGGGGAATATTTTGAGGAAACCTAAAAGGGAGGAACTTGCATTTAGGAAAAATATATTTTCACAGCAGGATATTGCTTTTTCTCTTTTCTGGTTTAGGTTTTTCATTTGTTACAAGCCTTCTCAGACTCCAGATACAGAATGAATGCATACTTTAAGCAGGAGCTGGCTGACGTTGCAGCTTGTACCAAAGCCAAAGTCTGGCTGGCCAAGAGGTATGTGAAAACCCCTCATAGGCAAGGAGTTATCAGGGTTAGGAATACATTGGAGAATTGCCGTTTCTCGTTGTGGGAGTTTTAAACGTCATTGGCATGAGTTTTCTAAACTTATTGAGGTATTTATCTTTTTTACAACGTTGGATTGTGGTAAAGAAAGAAAAATATTTTCTGGACAATTTTTCTAAAACTGCCGTGTGGCTCGGGGGCATGTAATATGGCTTTTTATCTGTCTACCAATCAGCTTATTTTTATTAATACCTGCTATGTGCTCAACCCTGTGTTAGATATTATAACAATGAAAGCAGTAATTGACTAAATCATGTGATACAAACTCTTACTTGCTGGGGCAACTCAGAGATTAGAGATTGGTGTAAGACTAGAGTAGACACTGAGAGACAAATAGGGTCTGAATAGCAGGAAGACGTGGAAGTTGCCATTTTAAGTAGGTAGTAGAGTAACTTGAATAAGCAAGGCAAAGAAGGGTGGATACATTTATTTTTTTCAACCTCGCCATTTGTTTATTCTAGAATTTAGAACATTTCCTATGTGAAAGATGGAGTGAAAGAATTTCTCATTTACTACATAAGAAGTCCCCTCTGTAACACCATCCAAAATCATGTTACAGGCCTCGGACAGTGGTAGGGCAGCATTACTGCAGGCCCCCGGAGCGGCCTCTGGAAGTTCCAGCAGGGTAGCTCCAGCAGGCGGCCACATGCTACCACATTCCGTGCTGTAGTATGTTGCGTTTGATTAAGAATCAGTTATATAGGTTATCTAACATAGAGGCCTTTTTTTTATTTTTCAAAAAATGTGCTTTCGTTCACTTATGTTGCGCTCCCCACCGTATATAGCAACCAAGGGATGGGCAGCATGAGGCCCGAAGGTCAGTGAAATTCAACAAAGCATTGTTGAGCACAGGCAACATCTCCTTTGTGTCAGGAGATGTAGGGATGCAAATATAGAAGAATTGGTCCTGGCTTCAAGGAGCTACTATCTAGGAGATAAGAAAGATGCGTAAATAAAGAATTTTCATCCGTTATGGTAAGTGTAATAACAAATGTATGTAGTAAGTGCAGAAGTAGCGCAGAGGGGCAGGGGAGGGCCAACACTGAACCAGCCTTCAAGAGATGAGTAGAATTTTGCCAAGTGGCCAGGGCAGGGAAGGGCATTCCAGGCTCAGGTAATGTCATAGGCAAAGACATGGCATTATGAAATGTCATAGTGAGTGTGGAGAACTGTACTGGGACCTAAAGTATAAGATACATTGGCAGAAAATTAGGCTGAGGGAATACTTGGAGGATATACAGTGAAAACTCCCGAAGGAAACTTTTAGGAGAAAGGGAGCCAGTGAAGGATTTCTCAGTGTGTGGATATGTAAGTCTCCATTTTGTCTAAGCACCTATAGCTTTGGGCAGGGATATTGATGGAGAAATTCTCTAGAGTCTGAAATGCCAATGAAGTGATGGTTAATCTCTCATTTTTAGTCCAATTTTTGTTTTCTCTCTTTTACATGAAGAGTAGGAATTGATTGACCCTAAACTGCTTCCATGACTTATTAACATTTGCCTTCTGTGTGGCTTTTAAACAACTTCCCCCAAGATGCCTTTTCCAGGACAATGGAATTATGATGACATATACACTCTCATCTGCTTACCAATTTGTAGGCCAGGTCCTCCAACTATTATTTCTAGGGATCAGGTATTCAAGTCTCTCCAGAAACCATGCTGTTGAAACCCCTGCTTTCAGACAGGACTGCCCCAAGACAGAATCCTAAATCTACTGTTCTTAAAAGTGCTATAACGAAGGCATTACCCATTCATGAATCTCATAGGAAATCACCATCCACTGGTTTCATGAGCCATTTCTTCTGTTTGTATGGGAAATAGGAGATAGAGTAACAGGCCAGCCGTCTGAATTGACCTTCAATGTTGTGCAGTGCCTGAGATGGATGACAAAGCTGCCATAACCCTCCGCTTCAGCTGGAGAAGTCATCCTGGCCTCTTTTAACCTTTTCTGTGGTTCCTATTGCAGTTTTTTAATCAGGCTTTTCGTCATCACCCCCACCCACCATCTCTGATTTTTCTCCATGTCTTTCCAGCCCTGGAAAACAAAGGTATGAATCACTGCAATTCGCTGAGTTTCTACCTTCCTTGCTGAGAGTCCAGGCAAGCCACTTTTTATGTTTCCAGGGCAGTCAACACTTTATTATCCAAGTGTGAACTTTACACTTCGTGTGTGGTCTGTAGATGGTTCCTAACACCAGGCTTCCTCTTGCTCCTCAGCACACTTTTATCATTTTAATCAGGATGTGTTCAGAGCCTAAAATAAAGTTTGGGAGGAAAACAGCACTGCCTGAGCACAATGCATTCCAAAGCCATGGATCAGTTTTTCTGTATTATTCACATCGTTGACACAATAACCTTGAGGTTCCTGAATAGGTAAGTGTAGAGGTGGATGTAAGTGTTGAAGCTGAGGCCTGTCACACACCCGCCCTGTCCCTGAGGTCTTCTGAGAGTGTTGCTGCAGGAGTTTGTTTACACTAATAGCTCCAGGCTCACGTGAGCCCATTCTGGATCTTAGTGGGCCCTTCTCAAAGCCGACTCCTGTCTTCACATTCTCACCTGCCTTTCCCATGAAAGATGTTAAAATGCACAGAATTCCAAATTCTACTGCTGAAGAGGCTCCTTTATGTCCTTAATAATTTACACATGAAAGAGGAATAAATGTTCCTTTGTGCTTACTAAGGACTTTCTGTATCTTTTAAGTATAAGCTATGAAACATTAATGTTATTGCAAAAAAATTATATATTGGTTCAAATTTTAGCACCAACACCTTTTTCCTTCTACAGTTTATTTGACCATTAGCCTGAGTTCATTCAGTCCAGTAAGTACAAAAACATTAGTGAGAGTGTCATTTATTTGTCCTTTTATTCCCAAAGAAAGTTTTGGGTTTTTTTTTTAAGTTCATTGGAGACACTGGATAACCAATCAGTTTTTTAAAATTTGACCCTGAAATTAGGGCACATAAAATAAAGACTTTTGTCATATATTTGTGTTTTGACTTTGCAAGATTAATAGGGATTTATATGAGGTGATTAAGCAATAGCCGTGGAGTTGTTGGGGAATTTTTGGTGATGAATGGCCAGCTGGCAACATGGCCTGGGTAGAGGACTGGGTTTCTACTCTTACAGTCCGCTTTTCATTCCAAGATGTCAAAGCCTTTATAGAAATCAGCTCATTAATCCTTCAAGTCCTTTCCTTCCCCTTTTTCCTCCACCCCTCCCTCCTCAATTCATGGTGCAAAGGTAGTTTACCAACTCCTGAAAACGAAGTTGAACCAGGCCAGAAACTGAGTGAGATATAGGGTCAGCTGCTGGCCTGGAGAGGGTGACTGTGGGTGCCACGAAAGGGGAATCAGCTCAGTCCCTGACTGTGGCCCTGTCTGCCACCCTTGCTATTTGCAGGTCCAGCTCCTTTATCCCAGCCAGATCATGGGCCCTGCTTGAATAAGAAGGACTTTTTTAAAGCCCTGTCATAGGACTAAGAGGGGAAAAGATTTATGTACTCTAATTGTGAAAATTATTATATTAGGTTTAACATTTTTCAGAAATCAATTTGGTTATGTAGTGTTTCCTTTGGTATAAAAGGAAAAGATAAGCGTGTGTGCGTGTGTGCGTGTGTGTGTGTGTGTGTGTGTGTCTGTCTGTCTGTCTGTCTGTCTGTCTGCGTCTGTGTGTGTCTCTGTTCTCCTTTTAGTAAATGTGTTGAACTAAATGGACTATCAGACTAAGTACAATGAATTATGTGATGACCAGGAAGAAAAATGTATCCTACTGAATTTTTTTCACTTTTTTTCTTGATTGTGTAGTATATACTTATCATAGAAAATTAGTCAAGTATAAAATTTGGAAGAGAATACAGGTCTAATCTTAACAACATCCAATGGAAACCTCTGCTATTGGTTAACAATTTTATGTATGTAGTTACTTCATTTTTTTTTCTTTTTTTTTAATGTAGTTGAGGTTATACGGTATATATGTTATAGCTCACTTTTTTTGCTTAACTATCATGAAAGCATTTGTTATTATTAAAAACTATATGGTATAGTAGTCACTGGAAAATAGTATGGCATTTCCTCAAAAAATTAAAAATAGAATTACCACAAGAGCTAGCAATTCCACTTCTGGGTATATATCCAAATGAGTTTAAAGCAGAGTCACAAGTTAGAAGTAACCCAGTGTCTGTTGATGGATAAATGGATAAACAAAATGTGACATACATGGATAATGGAATATTATTCAGCCTTAAAAAGAGAGGAAATTCTAACACATGTTACAACATGGATGACCCTTGAGGACATTATGCTAAATGAAATAAGCCAGTCACAAAAGGACAAATACTGTATGACTCCACTTATGTGAGGTACCTAGAGTCATCAAGTCCATAGAGGCAGACAGTGGAATAGTGGTGCCGGGGCCTGGGGATGAGGGAGGAAGGGATGAGGAATTAATGTTTAATGGGTATAGAGTTTTAGTATTACAAGATGGAAAAAGTTCTGAAGATTGTATACAAGTATGAATGTGATTAGCAGTACTGAGCTGCACACTTAAATGGTTAAGATGGTAAATTTTTAATTATGTATATTTTATCACAATTTTAATGACAAATATTTTTTAAAAACTCTTCATACCTTATCATTTCTCTGGGGTTATCAGAGTTTTGACTTTGTTTGTTTGTTTGTTTGTTTGTTTTTGTCTCCCCCCAGCTTTATTGAAATATAATAGACAATTAGTTGCTTGTATTTACATTGTACAATTCAATGAGTTTTTTTCAGTTATCGTTGGCATTGTCTTGACTTTATATGATAATTATTTCTTTGCCTTTCTCCCTAATTTCTTCCTAATTATCTCCCACTATGCATCTCTAAAAGTAAAATACTTTTCCTGTTTTTGAATTAGAAAAAACATTTGTTAAAGGTAGCATATTTTTGTCACCTG